TATTGCATCAGTTCTAGCAGATTGTTGCAAAAAACCTGATTTCAGGATTTACACAAAACTTACAATGCCTTTTTTCTCAAAATAAACCCAATGAGGCTTAGGTCCCTTACTGCCCCAAGCCCTTCAATTGTCATACATGTCGGTGAACAATTTTAAGAATATTGCGACAGAAATTACGATTTTATACTAAGAGTGAAATAAAAATATGTTTATTATTATCCATAACCGGTTTTCATGGCTAAGTCATCATAGCTATTAATCCATATTTTTATAAAATTAGAAAAGGAACCAATTTCCAGATTTGGCTCAAACCATGTCAGAGGCTGTCCGAACCATACATGCTATAGAATCCTGCTTACTAAACTTGCCACCACGCACTTATCGAAAGCCACTGATTAAAAGAAAAAAGATTTGTCAAAGGGCACAACTTTTTACCCAAAAACCCCCTTTCACCCTCGGACCCCAGAGTCATTCCCTTAAAAGTCTTAAATGATAAGGGGCATCGAGTAACAGCTTGTTTGAAAGGTATTTCAAAGTCCTTTATTTTGACGTTAAATTTTTTAAAATCAGTCGTACATTTTTGAGAAAATTAGAAAAGTCTTTATTTGTCTTAATTTGTTTAGATAGAAAACAAAAACACACGAAAATATCACTTTTCATTTCAATGTGTTCAAAATATGGTCAGTTAGGGTTTTCCGAATCTACAATTCGTTTATAACTTAAAACGGAAACTACCAATATACATGGTGTCCCAGAAGTCGACGTCAAGCCGAAACTGGGTGACAGGCAAAGTCATAACAGCTATCAGAAAAATATTTAAAAAAAATTTATGTATGTGTTTTGAAAATTATAGGTCTTTGAAAAAAATATAGAAATTTCACACCCTACGGCAGTCTGTCAACTCCTGTTACTACAAATATTAACTTTTTTTGGATTTTATTTTTACAATGTAATCATGAATAATGCATCTTCAATCTGGTGTCTCAACCTTACTGCCAACTTTTCTCGTTCAGGAAAAATTGCCACTTATTTCCCAACCAAGTATTCCAAAGTAAAACTTTCCTCAACTTTAACTGGCTGTACTGGAAAAAAATATACTGCGAGAGTTTGGCAAGTAACCTTAAAAGTTGGCGCATTTAATAAGGATTCCAAAATGGTATAACACTTAGAAGATTACTCGTTAACTTATGCACAATTTTATTTGAAGAAAAACTGATGAAAATTTTTCAAAATTTCCTAATTAAACAGTGATTATGAAAACGCACAAGGACCCTTAAGGATAACTGTTTGTACAACAGTGGGCGTCAAAATGCTGCTGATGATGATTTACCTTTACAGCAAATGCTCAAACTGTTTTCCTTCAGCCGCAATACACGCTCGACATCTTAAAAAAGATCGGGTTATTAAACGAGCGAATCCACGGTTATTAACAAACTCAGCTGCTTCCAATATTCTTTGCCGTAGCTCAGCTACATTTTGAATCGGCTTGAAATACACTTTTTCTTTTACAGTTCCCCAGTAAAAAAAATCTGACGGATTCAAATCTGGTGACCGGGCTGGCCACGGTATTGTACCAGACCGCCCTATCCATCTGCCTGGAAAGTTTTGATCGAGATACTCTCTCACTGAGAGTGCATAGTGCGCTGGGCAGCCATCATGCTGAAACCACATGTCCCTGTAAATACTCAGTGGCACGTCCTCCAATAAATTTTCTAAATGATTTTGCAAAAAACCTAAATAAACCTCAGCAGTTAAAGTCTCTGGGAACTCAAATGGACCGATTATTTTACCATTTAAAATTCCTGTCCAATGGTTTATCTTGAAGCGATATTGAGATTTATCTTCTCTCATCAAATGTGGGTTTGCTACGTGCCACTCGTGTAAGTGATGCAGGTTCATGTACCCATCTTTATTAAATGTGGTCTCATCTGACCATAACATTTTTTCAAAGAACCGTGGATCTTTCTAACATTGTGCGACAAAAAGCAACTCGGGGCTCATAATCCCGGGGCAGAAGAGCTTGAACACGCTGTACGTGGTATGGATGGAGCACGTTTTTTTGCAAGATTCTATGGGCTGTACTTTTGGGCACACCTGTTTTTAGTTTGCACGCACTGAAGTACTCGGGTCTTCTTCGACAGCTCCTAGCACCACGCCTTCGTAAGGAAGGAAAGATCTTCCCTCACCGTGTGATTGGTTTGGTAGTTGGCCCTCTGAGAACAGTAAGCGGTGCACATTTGTGAACACTCGATGATCTGGATGACGAGCTGCATTTGGGTACCTCTCACAGTAAAGTCTCGCTGCAGCACTAGCGTTGCATCTGCATTCCCCATAAATGAGGTGCATGTTAGCATATTCTTGTACGGTGTACACGGACATAGCGGCACTGCACAATCACACTATCAAAGATAGTCTAAGCAAAGCAAATGTTGTTTTGAAGAGCAATTAAACACGAATCCAAAATTAGTAACAGTACGAAATCAACAAGCACGAACATGTAAAGATGCGCAGTAAACGAAGGAGTACTGATCCGTATCAAAGTGTGCAATAGCAAGTAAGCGATGTGCTTCATCCATACCACATACAGCGTGTTCAACCTCTCCTGCCCCGGGATTATGAGCCCCGAGTTGCTTTTTGTCGCACAATGTTAGAAAGACACAGATAAGATCCACAGTTCTTTGAAAAAATTTTATGGTCGGATGAGACCACATTTAAAAAAGATGGGTACATGAACCTGCATAACTTACACGAGTGGCACGTAGCAAACCCACATTTGATGAGAGAAGATAAATCTCAATATCTCTTCAAGATAAACCATTGGCCAGGAATTTTAAATGGTAAAATAATCGGTCCGTTTGAGTTCCCAGAGACTGCTGAAGTTTATTTGGATTTTTTGAAAAATCATGTACAAAATTTATTGGTGGACGTGCCACTGAGTATTTACAGGGACATGTGGTTTCAGCATGATGGCTGCCCAGCGTACTACGCACTCTCAGTGAGAGAGTATCTCGATCAAAACTTTCCAGGTAGATGGATAAGGCGGTCTGGTACAATACCGTGGCCAGCCCGATCACCCGATCTTTTTTAAGAAGATGTCGAGCGTGCATTGCGACTGAAGGAAAACAGTTTGAGCATTTGCTGTAAAGGTACATCATCATCAGCAGCATTTTGACGCCCACTGTTGTGCAAACAGTTATCCTTAAGGGTCCTTGTGCGTTTTCATAATCGCTGTTTAATTAGGAAATTTTGAAATATTTCCATCAGTTTTTCTTCAAATAAAAATTGTGCATAAGTTAACGAGTAATCTTCTAAGTGTTATACCATTTTGGAATCCTTATTAAATGCGCCAACTTTTAAGGTTACTTGCCAAACTCGCGTAGTACATTTTTTCCAGTACAGCCAGTTAAAGTTGAGCAAAGTTTTACTTTGGAATACTTGGTTGGGAAATAAGTGGCAATTTTTCCTGAACGAGAAAAGTTGGCAGTAAGGTTGAGACGCCAGTTTGAAGATGCATTATTCATCATTACATTGTAAAAATAAAATCCAAAAAAAGTTAATATTTGTAGTAACAGGAGTTGACAGACTGCCGTACGGTGTGAAATTTCTATATCTTTTTCAAAGACCTATAATTTTCAAAACACATACATAGCTGTTATGACTTTGCCTATCACCCGGTTTCGGCTTGACGTCGACTTCTGGGACACCCTGTAGACAGCAATTCGGAAGATTAGACGTGGCAACAACCAAATAACAACCCGAATTTCTTTCCGCATTCTTTTCATCAACACATATCCTGGGCGAACTGTATTCATGTTATACTTGTTCAGTTATTTGTTGCTAGGGGAAAGAAAGAATTTAATTTGCTGACAGATACCTTTGTGACAATCCAAAATGGTTTACACACTAGCCGAAAAGGTGGAAATGATTCTGATTTATGGTGCCCAAAATCAATGTGCTCGGCAAACTGCCGTCACGTTCAACGCCTTACATCCAGGGAAGTTATCTTCGCATAGGCATGTGTTGGACCTGAAAAGATGAAGTTTTGGGTCATTTTGGAATAAATCCAAATACTTCATTACGCAAAATTGTTGCTGCGACTGGTATATCATTAGGCTCTGTAGACACAGTTACTGAACTCCATGAATTTCAATCATTCAAAATGAAAATATGGCAAGAGTTAACCGAGGATAATTTCGATAGGCGAGTTGAATTTTATGAGAATATAATAAGAATATCTATAAAGGGGGTGAAGTAGTTTCTGGTTAAAAAGTCGTTCCCCTAGACAAATCTTTTGACTATCTCGGAGTTTTTTCTTTTAATCAGTTGTATAAGACATAGTTTTAGTACATTCATGACATTATACCGATCTTCAAATATTTCATCAGCACCTCCGACACATAGAATGAGCCAGAAGTCTAAAATACTACAATTCTACTTTCGTTATCTTTATCTGATGCTAGTTTTTAAAATTTTTACTAAAAAAATATTTCTCTGGATACTAAGTTTTGGACGTTTCAGGAAAAATAGAACGTAAGATTATTATTTACAACACTATAGTCTTGTTTACTTTTCTTGACTGTTGATTGGACGTTTTGAAAATCTTCTAAGATCTAAACTTACAGTATATCGTAAACTTACAGTCTTCTCAGAAAACTAACGCCTAATGAAAGGTTCTGATTCTAGTTCTCCTTCAGCCTGTAGTTTGAACAGTCTAAATTGATGCATATTTGTACTTTATGCCTATGCACTACATTTGACTATACGTTAGATTCTGATTCCCATGCTTGTTAACAACACTTGAAAAGAAGACGTCTGTAAAATGCCAAGCATACGCATTTACGACGATCTCTTCATAACAAAAGCAAATGAACAATAACAGAAACTTAAGCCACACTCAGTAAAGAACTCAAGCAACGTTAAAACGAATCACAAATACAATGAACAACCCAATTTAACCTCATAAAAATCAATAGTATTGCACAAGGTAATATTATCACAATATTGAGAGAAACATGGAAATAACTAATAACTAAGAACTAATATAAATCATGCAACATATCTTGGATCAATTGTTCAGAAGAATGAACGGATGTAAAGACAAGGATGAGGTTGTATCAGTTGTACCAATCTCCTTGAGAACAATTATTAAGAACGCGTCTTTAGTAGATAGTTCCATATATTAATTGAGTGTCAACATTGAGGAAAAACAAGAAAATAGGGCAATGAAACTAAAAAAAAAATAGTTTTGATTAATCCGATCAAGGCCTTAAGATGCTGAGCATGTCACAAAAAATTAAGTGGAATGTCTGATGTGAAAACGTTTCAATACTCTTCAAATGTGAGCAATCTTTCATAAAAATATTGCTATGTTAAATTGAGCAAAGTAACTGGAAGATACGTAACTTGAGCTGGGGAAGTATTACCTGAAACTTCACTAAATAAATTATTTTCTCGATTTCACAAAAAAAAATGAACGTAGGAGATGGAAAAGTAGGCAATATGATATACTCAGCAGTCAAGTTGATGCCATAAATATGCTAGTCTTCTGATTTGATATTCAAAGCTTGCAATTGCAGAATGCATGCCAACAATTCTGGTTCTTAAGCTTGGCTTAAAATCATGCATAATCAGTTGACCATCTCTTGAGTACCTTGTGTCGTCTCCGCTATGTGACATGCGTACGTTTTGCTCACATAGGAGAAGGTCTGCTTCATAGCTACCCTGTACAGAAATTAAATTGTGTCTAAGGTCTACGACACTACCGTCTAGTTTGAAATATTTGGCACGCGTGACTACTTCAAATCACATTTAAAATCCTGTGAAAGTTTGGATACGAGAGATACTAACCATTTTATTTCTGGGAGAGCTAGTACTGCGATATCTCGTAAAATGCTAAGGAAAGTAAGATCCTTGTTCTGAGCTTTTAGACCATTACAAGAAAAGACACACAAAGGTATTATTATTCCTTGAAAGATCCGATGTATTAAGAAGCATAGAGATTAGTAGGGAAGAGGTAAGTATCCTGATGGAAACATGTTTGCCAGCTCTGAGGTTGTGAGGCACCTGCACCAAAAATAAAATACTTAGTATATCGCTTTACGAGAACTCAAAATTAGACCAACTTCAACCTCCAAATAGATATCGGTCTCTGAAACACCGTTACTTGTCCCTGCTCCTTCCCGCCAAAAATATAAATGTACACCGAAATATCCTTCGAATTGCATTCACTATCCTTTGCACTAACTATTCTGACATTTCTTTCTACCCTACTGGCACTAAGCGCCCTAAGTTTATCGATATTCATCCTGTTCTGCGTCTCCACTTTATCTAACGGTAAGGACTTGGGAGGTCTGGAAGACCTGTTGCTGGTTTTATACAACACAGAGGTGTTTTTGCTGATGATACCGTCGTAGTTTTGGAGCTCCAGGATTTCTTCGTCGTCCGATGTTTTGGCTTGTTTGCCTAGCATGGTGACAGCGTTTTTCTTGTCTATGACTGGACCCATGTAATTCGGATTGCAGAATCCGTATGGACCTGATTCGTTGCGTTCTCTATTTTTCTGGTTGTCCTCGTAGATCGTGTTGGTTTTCACACTGTAGTTACTGGCAGATGACAAGCTACAAAAATACGTCAAATATCGTATATACAAAAGATTCCGAGAAATTTGTTTGTTTTTTTTTAAGAAAATTGCTACATTTATATTATTTTAAAAAACTACAACAATTACATAACAGACACATTCATATTAGAAAAACAAAATTTGCATCTCTAAGAATTGTCATTATAGATGGTGGCGCATCGAAAACGAAACAGACGCATTTACTAGCAGCTCAGTTTTTTTTGGAAAAATGCTCAGACTTGTCGATTTTGTTTTCGAGGGGGACACAAGTTTGTCAAAAAATCACGTTAACACGTGCAGCCCCCTGGGCGGGGGTGATATCAACCCTAAAATCTTAAATGGAGGGGGGGGTCGAGTGATAACTTATTTTAAAAGTCTTTCAATTCCCTTTATAATGATGTAAAATACATGAGCTTCAGTTCAGTAGTTTTGAAGATTTATTGATTTAAAGCTTAAAGTAGACTTTAATAGGTGCATCAGGTTAGTTTGTACTACTTTCAGAATAAAAAAAACTGAGCTGCCAGTGAATGCGTCTGTTTCGTTTCGATGCGTCACCCTGTATATGAAGTGTTCCTTCAGTTTTCTTTTAAACATCTTGAAATTACAAGTAGACTTTATATAATTATTCAGTTTATTAAATTCAAGTAACACTTTCTGAAATATTGATTTGCCAGTTATATTACTATTGCAATTTTGCAAATGAAAACCTATACTTCCTCTTGTATAAGAGTTGTGGTAATGATTATTCAATTCTATGTAGTGTTCTGAATGTTGTGGCAAAAGATGATTTTTATTTCAAATATAAAAATAAGAACCAAATATGATATGAAATTTTTATATTCAACTACTTCACTAGTGTAATTATTTTTATCCAATATTATTCTTATAGCTAGCTAGGACGTATAATTTTGAGGATACAGCTTCATTGACAGTGAACAAAATAGTTGAACAATATAGTAAATGCGGTAGAATAGTTATCGTATTACAAACTATTTTTTTTAGAATATGTACTAAAAAGCCCTATAAAAGTAATTTGGCTTTTAGCAATTTTTAAAACAATGTATTCATCCTCAAACTTTAGCTTACTATCAATATGTGTACCTAAATATTTAATTGATTTAACATTTTCAATTATTTCACCATTTGTCCTAACTGTAATAGTGTTTTCATTTAGGTATTTCCCTATTAGCGTACATTTTATTTTAGATGCATTCAATTTTTGTTTATTTACATTTAACCAATTCATGATTTTTGCCAAGTCCGAAATTAGCATTTTTAAAGCAGTAACTACATTTTCATCTAGTAAGTATATTAATGTATCATCTGCAAATATCTAAATTTTACAATAATCCAAAATATTACAAATATCATTAATGTATAAAATAAATAGTAGTGGACCTAGTTTACTACCTTGTGGTACACCAACAGAAATATCTTTTGAGCTTGATAATGTAGATCCAATTTTGGTTTTTTGACTTCTTCCAATTAGGTGGTTTTGTAGAATTTTGAACGCAGATATCTTTAAAATTTAAATGATCTACAAAGTTCCTTAGAGTCATATTTAAAGAGGTTCTCCGAGGCTTAGGTGCGCCCAGGATGACAATTTATAAAGTACACTTTTCTCCTTCAGCAGCAGATAAACAAAGCTTTTTGAAACGTATTGAGCATCCTTACCGATTCATAGTTTCCAAACTGGCATAATCTGACGTTGAAGAAACATTCTCTTCGGACTTTTCTTCCATAGAACCCCTCACCATTTGCTGATACAGCGGGTTATCAGCATAACCTAGATGAGAAGAGTAACTTTCACCCCTCGATATAGGTTTGAAGCCATCGAAAGTATCTTCAGGGTCTTCTCTTATGTCTTTTTTCCACCTTTTCTTTCTTTGGCTTCCGTTCTTCGCCCAACAATTCGCTCTCTTCTTCGCTATCCAGATACACCAACTTTGTGGCTTCTACGGGCGTTAATACTGGAGTCGGCAGAGTCAACAGGCTGAAGTTTGGCACTGAAATTGGTTCCCGTGGAAGCACCACCGCGGTTGAATCGAACTCGACCCTTTTTTTGTTGGAAGTTTTGTGTCGTCTCGCGTTGGAGACGTGTCTGAGTATTTCTTCTTTATCACGTAGGCTGACTTTGATTTCACCATAGTACCTGTAACAAATTATCCAGAAATGTACTAAATACAAGATCTCGAGGATGCAGTCATCGTAACTAACGTCAGGCCAGAGAGAAAGTGATTTTTTGTTCAAGTCAATCAACCTCATTATCCTCCAAAATGGCGGACTGGGAAGCTACCAGAGTTAGGCGTTTTTTGTACACTCAATTGTTTATAAACCATGTAGTATGTCATATGAATTGTGTCCTTTTTGAAGGTCTATCTGAACGTACAATAAAAAATTAGGCTTTCAGTTTCAAAAAATTATCACATTTTGAACATTTTTTTCAAAGAGAATAATAACAATGTGATCAGTATGGATATCTCTTTTTGGATTTAAAACGTACATTCCAAGAATGTGAATGTCCCTTTGAATGTTCGCTCAAAGGTTGCGAAAGAAATAGCATTTAGCAATAGACGTTTTTTAGAGGTGGAAATACTTCTCTCGCCTTTATTCCACAAACCCATATATCAAAATCATTAACCTATTACAATCTCACTAAGAAGTAATCAATCTTTTCAATCGCCCTACTGCCACGTCGCTTGTAATTGAGTAACCTACTTTTCAAGAAGTCTTTTGAACGTGTGCCAGGAATCGACGAATGCTTTTTTCCCTCTAATTGAGAAACATACTCGATGTCGAGTATTCGGAGCAAGCACAATTTTATCTTTTAATATACTAGATGCGTTGCAAAAATCGGAACGGATCGTTAAAATAATCGGGTTTTTAATTTTTTCTCCATACAGACCAAGATGTATGAAATGCTTAAATCTGAAGATTTGAAATGTTCCCTTGACTGCACTTTACATTTTTTGGTTCGTTGAAACAACATCCACTTCTCAAAAATTATGGATTTTATGGAGAACTGCATGAGAGACGCACAAGTTAGGAAAGTGGTATATCAAAGGAAAAAGCCGTCACTCTGGTTTTCATAAATATTTCTAGACTATAAATTGACGCGTGATAATGACTGTTAAAAGTTCATGATCACTCAAACTGAGGAAGATTGGATACAATATAATAAATCAAGAAACAAGTGTTTAAAAAATCTTAGGAACGAAAAGAAAAAGTATTATGACAGCAAAATTGATAGCAATAAAAATAACAGTAAAATGGAAGACAGTAGGAAGAATGAATTATCAAGAATGTGCAGAACGAATGAACGCTTATTTTATAGAAAGTATACTAAGTGACATATAAATCCGAACACCCAGTTTAAATGGTTTTATTTTAATAAAATTTTGTATAAGTACTTAATGAAGCATAATAAGTAAATGATAAAAATTTCAAAACGATTGCACTGCTTTAAAGCCCTTTGACCTTTAATAATGTGTGGATGCACCCTGATGTGCTACGCATTCTCCAACGCGCCTAGGCATGCTTCTGATCACGTGTTCAATGTCCTCCTGTGGTATCTCATTCCAGGCAACCACCAACTCCTCTCGAAGTGCTTCTAGAGTCTGAGGAGGACGTTGCAAATTGAGCAATCTCCTACCCATGATATCCCATACGTGCTCAATTGGGGATAAGTCGGGAGATCTTGGTGGCCATGGTAACAATGTGACATCATTATGTTGAAAGAAGTCTATTGTGACTCTTGCAACATGTGGTCGGGTATTATCTTGTTGGAAAGTTGGATCTGCCAGGGTGTCAAGATAGGGTAAAAGATGGGGTTCTAGAACTTCGTGGATGTAACGCTTTGCGTTCATGTTACCTCTGATGAAGATTAACGGTGACCTGGAACCATAAGCTATAGCACCCCAAACCATAACTCCAACAGTGTGATGAACATGTCTTTCAACAAAAAACTGTGGATTCCTCCTTTCACCACGTCGCCTTCTAACCCTGGCACGACAATCGTGCATGCCTAAACAAAATCGAGACTCGTCACTAAAGATAATACTGTTCCATTCCTGATCCCAGAGTGACCGTTGTCTGCACCACTCAAGGCGACTACGTCGGTGTTCTCGAGTTAAAGGGAGGACCCAGTGTGGCCGGTATGAAAACAAGCCAAAACTTCTCATTCGTCGGTAAACACTTCGCATGCCAATAGGTTTTCCGTGTTCTGCAAACCATTCATTTGCAATGGACCTGGTAGTGGAGAAACGGTCCCTTAAGGCCAATAATCTTAGGCGGCGATCTTCACGGTCTGTTGTTCTACGGCGGCGTCCAGTGCCCCTTGCTCTTGCGTACGGCCTTCTCGAAGCCATGCCTGACAACACCTAACCACAGTGTCTACAATTCTTTGCACTCTAACTGGAATTGCCCGAAAAGAAAGTCCAGCTTCCCGAAGTCCCACTATACGGCCCCTATCAAACTCACTAAGTTGACGAAATCGTACAGGTCTCCGTACTCTAGGCATCGTAACCGATCGTAAAGGATGTCAAGAACCAAAATCCGCCAACGTTGATTCTTTACTGCGGCTGAAATATTCATTTTTAGAGCGTTAGTGAATTAAAAAAAAGCAGCATAAAAACCGGAATGTTCAACTGATAAGGCTGAAAATTTTTTCACTTGTTATTTACAGTAAGATAAATACATTCACCAACTTTTATTATAATAAAACCATTTAAACTGGCTGTTAGGATTTATATGTCACTTAGTATATAAATGAGATGGTGGAATCAATCGAAGATGAGGATCCAAATGCATGCAAGTTACTCCTAATTCTTCTATGAGACAATTCCAAACAATAAATATCAGCCATCTTTCAAAAGCTATTATAAGATTGAATCGAATAGAAATCCTAGTGAACATCTTTCAAAAATGGTTATAAAGGCATGTTTCAACATTTTTGGAGAGAAGTTATTATTGTTAGTGAATCACTGTTTAGTGTATGGCACACAGCTGTATGACAACAACAAATTAAAAACAGATTAAAAATATTTAAAACGAAAGTTAAGCATTACATCGTGAAGCCACTTGATGATTCATCATCCTTAACGTAAATAACATTTAGCAACATCCTCACATACAACTCTCTTGACGATGATGGCAAAGACCATTGAAAGCTAGAGAGATTAAAAAAGTATAAAGCGTCCTCCTTGCTTAAATTTTGTCGAAGTACCCAACAAAAGGCGGAAGCTTTAATTTTTCACCTAACTGGTCTAGACGACAATGACCACGTCTCAAGTTATATATATATATATATATATATATATATATAGACTTTGAAGCTGAGTCATTAATTTTCAGATAATGATTGTAGAAGGAAGATAAACCAAAATATGTGTGTAATAATAAAAAAAAATTAAAAAAACAATGTTTACCTTGTTTTATAAAGTATCCTCCCGACAAGTATTTCAGTGCGGACCTGTATTTGATCGTGAGGTCCCCTGTGAGGTCTTAAGTCACCTGATTCACGAGCCCGTTGTACTACATTAACAAAGGCACGAGGGGTTGGTTGCACTCGATTGGGAAACCGATCCGCATAAACATGTGCCATTTTTTATTTCGTTTGAGCCTCGCAACAGATACCACTATTCACTGACACCGACTGTATACAAATGAATGAAATAATTGTAAAAACATCGTTCCAAATTCTTTCGCTTTTTGTTTCCGATGCGATGAACCGATACGGCGGATTATATCCGTTGTCGCCAAACACGACCACATAATATTATTATTGAGACAGGGCGGTACTCAAACTTCCAAAGGGCTATAACTTTGTTACTTTAATTTTACCAGGAAAATGGTAAAGGAAAAAAACATTTCTTTGATCAGATCTACTCACTGTTAAAATAAATGACTCAACTTCGAAGTCACCCTGTATATATATATATCAAATAAAGACATTGAAACTGCAATAGAGCTGTTAAATAATGATATGAAAAATGAATAGATTGTTTAAATATAAATAAACTTAAACTAAACACAAACAAATCAAAATATATGCTAATAGAAAAATCTTTAGATCAAAATAGGATAAATCTTGAAAAAATTGTATCAATCGCATCATTTAAATATTTGGGCATATACGTAGATAGTGAAATATAATTTGAAGGACACTATGAATATATTAATTCAAAAATATCCAAGAAAATAAATTACATTTATAGAATTTCGCGTAGTCTAAGCGTTCACACTATCATTCTTCCTCATTTGTTATATTGTTCGACTATTCTTTTCACTCCAAATGAAACTGTATTTTTAAAATTACAAATATTACAAAATAAAGCTATGAGAATCATCTTAAATAAAAGTAAATTTACTAGAATAAATTTTATGCCGAAAGAACTACAATGGTTAAATATCAAAAATTTCATAGCCTGCTTGGTTAGCATTTTTATATTTGAGTTAAAAAATCATCTTCTACCAAATCACTTAGAAAATTTTATTGTATTGAACAATGGGTGCCACAATTATTCTACTAGAGGAAGTACAGACTTTCATTTACAAAACTGCAGTAGCTATAAAGTGACATATAAATCCGAACACCCAGTTTAAATGGTTTTATTTTAATAAAAGTTGGTGAATGTATTTATCTTACTGTAAATAACAAGTGAAAATATTTTCAGCCTTATCAGTTGGACATTCCGGTTTTTATACTGCTTTTTTTTAATTCACTAACGCTCTAAAAATCAATATTTCAGCCGCAGTAAAGAATCAACGTTGGCGGATTTTGGTTCTTGACATCCTTTACGACCGGTTACGATGCCTAGAGTACGGAGACCTGTACGATTTCGTCAACTTAGTGAGTTTGATAGGGGCCGTATAGTGGGACTTCGGGAAGCTGGACTTTCTTTTCGGGCAATTGCAGTTAGAGTGCAAGAAGTGTAGACACTGTGGTTAGGTGTTGTCAGGCATGGCTTCGAGAAGGCCGTACGCAAAGAGCAACGGGCACTGGACGCCGCCGTAGAACAACAGACCGTGAAGATCGTCGCCTAAGATTATTGGCCTTAAGGAGCCGTTTCTCCACTACCAGGTCCATTGCAAATGAATGGTTTGCAGAACACGGAAGACCTATTGGCATGCGAAGTGTTTACCGACGAATGAGAAGTTTTGGCTTGTTTTCATACCGGCCACACTGGGTCCTCCCTTTAACTCGAGAACACCGACGTAATCGCCTTGAGTGGTGCAGGCAACGGTCACTCTGGGATCAGGAATGGAACAGTATTGTCTTTAGTGACGAGTCTCGATTTTGTTTAGGCATGCACGATGGTCGTGCCAGGGTTAGAAGGCGACGTGGTGAAAGCAGGAATCCACAGTTTTTTGTTGAAAGACATGTTCATCACACTGTTGGAGTTATGGTTTGGGGTGTTATAGCTTATGGTTCCAGGTCACCTTTAATCTTCATCAGAGGTAACATGAACGCACAGCGTTATATCCACGAAGTTTTAGAACCCCATCTTTTACCCTATTTTGACACCCTGGCAGATCCAACTTTCCAACAAGATAATGCCCGACCACATGTTGCAAGAGTCACAATAGACTTCTTTCAACATAATGATGTCACATTGTTACCATGGCCACCAAGATCTCCCGACTTATCCCTAATTGAGCACGTGTGGGATATGATGGGTAGGAGATTGCTCAATTTGCAACGTCCTCCTCAGACTCTAGAAGCACTTCGAGAGGAGTTGGTGGTTGCCTGGAATGAGATACCACAGGAGGACATTGACCACCTGATCAGAAGCATGCCTAGGCGCGTTGAAGAATGCGTAGCACATCAGGGTGCATCCACACATTATTAAAGGTCAAAGGGCTTCAAAGCAGTGCAATCATTTTGAAATTTTTATCATTTACTTATTATGCTTCATTAAGTACTTATACAAAATTTGATTAAAATAAAACCATTTAAACTGGGTGCTCGGATTTATATGTCACTTAGTATATATAACGACCAAGTCAGTATTTCAAAAGGGATTGTACGAATTTAATAAATTAAGTAATAATATCAAGATTTGTGTCAGCTTGAAAATGTTTAAAGGAAAATTGAAAAAAAATCTCATGGAAAATCAGAATTCATAGTAGTAAAATTTTGTCTAAAAATATGTAGTCTTGAAGACATAATATATTCTGTGATATACTGTGTAATATGGATATTATGAATTTTGTAGCATTAATGCAAAATAAATCTGAAACAAACAAAGTCCCGGCATTGCTATGTTTTTCAGCATCCGTTGCGTAGATATCTATGACAGAAGTAGATTTTTTGACAATTTGTTGAAGGATGTCGTTGTGACTTTTAAGTGGTATTTTCGGAAATTCATAATATCCCACACATTTTTACGTCAAGAAGGAGATGTCACCTATATTCGAAGATTAGTCGAAATTAAAACAATTTTTGTTTCAAAGAATATGGGAATAAATGAATTTGTGGCTTGTGACTTTACTGGCTTACGCGTTTGTTATATAGAAAAACTATTTTTTGTATTAGTTGCAGATGAACTACATCACAGAGTAAGAAATTTGTGCCCCGAAATTACCGATGTAGCACTTCTTCCGCCACGTACCTCTAGATGGCGTAGCAACAGTCGTTTCCGACGTATCAATCACCTCCTGAGGACTAGCGTGTTGCCGAAGAAGACTTTCGGTGCTATCTCCTTGACAGGCAGTTAGGACAGTGTAACTGCATCTACTGCTCAGCACTGGAATGTTTTGAGACAGCCTCGTGATTTCCTGCAGGAAGCCTCGGGTTCTGGAGTCCTGCTGGTTTTCATTATCTACATCAGACTCTCGGACCATATAGGTGGTTTCACAAGGCGCAACCTAGGATTAGGAAATACATGGTCAAAGCGGTGCTCGATCATTTATCTTTGAATGTGAATTCATACCGAAACAATTGCACATGGTATGCTTCGTCTATAACAAGAATCAGCCAATATTATTTGACCATTCTGGATACTAATAAAATGTGAACATGCGTATTTGTCAAGCAGATAATATTTTCTTTACATTTGACGGAAACTTCACTTGCCTCACCATGGCGAAGGTGGAGTCAGTTTCTAAGTACAGAAATAGAAACTACGTACTACTGGAAATCTCAGCCAGTAGCACCACCTTTCTCAAATCTAACACTTAGCAAACTCAAGCTGAGTGCTAAGGTCTACCTCGAATTGCGTTTTTAGTAAAAACTTAGTTAAGGTGAATCCACACCTGACAACAGTGCATCTTGGGTGACTTTTTGGGGAAATAACGTTTCCAGCTACAAATCACTTGATTGAATTGGTTGTCTTTTTTCCACACCAAAGTTCTTTATGCGAATAAAAGGGCTAACCTGGTGATATAATCACACGTTTTCTTATCTAGATTGATTGAAAGTAATTCCTGCCTTTAGTCTAATCATATTAGACGAATATACTACTGGTTTGTGACATAATTGTAAAGTCTGGTTTTATTGCTGCAAGTCGTTCAAGGGGGTATTAAAAACATGGGCGCGTAAAACGGGTAGACCAATTTTTGTGGGAAAACTTTTTATCTGGCAACAAAGAATGAGAAAATGCGTTTTTTGTGATTCAATCGAAAGTGTTGGCAAGAATGAAAAAACTCTTCATATGAGAATTTAAGGTATTTATGAGACCTACAAAGTGAGGCCACACGTAGAAAGATCCGACGAATAGCAAAAAAGTTATGGCCGGAAACCGAGGCAATTTGCTCAATAAACTAATGATGGCCGGAAAACAGGTGTTTTGGGATAAACAATTAGGAATTGTAAAAAAAACTACTTGACCAATATACTCCAATTTTGTACAGTATAAACCCTACGGATTTGAATAATTTCAGGTAGTAGCGTGATATTAACAAAATCGGATTATATTGGTCAAGTAGTTTCTTGAGAATTCCTTATTGTTTATCCCAAAACACATGTTTTCCTGCCATCACTACTAGTTTATTGAGCAATATACAGAGTTCGTTCAAAGAGCATTTATTTAATAGCAAAATAAGTGTTTACCTTGCCGATATGAAACACAAACCATTCCGGAAGATAAGCGTAGAGCTAAATTGACTGGAAGATTAAGAAATTGCCCCCTTCATCCAAAACCAAGTCATCAACTGTTTGTTTTACTTTTATAGGTGGTGGAAGAAACCTATTGTCTAGTAATCTAAATAGTCCACTTCTTGGACGACAGCATTCTGTATTTCTACATTTTACAATTTGAAGCAAGTATTGGCTCTCACGCACATGTCCCGAATACCATTTAATGTCTTGAAAATCAGGAAGATCTTGTTCACCTGCCCCAACATATTTTGCATTAACATTATAGGCATCAATTTCCATTGAACTCCATACTTCAGCTAATACATTTCCTGCAAATTCGAAATTAGATCTTTCTAAATGTTCATCAATTGTAACACCACGTTCATCCAAATGAGACCCAAAATGGTCATGAGGCAATATTAAACCAGCCAGTTCCCGACTAAGAGGAGCCATTCTGCGCTCTACTCTGTTATACGCACTTCTTCCAGGAGCATTGGTAACTAAAAATAATGCATCGAGATCATGTCGATTTAAGTGTTGTATAGTAAATCCTATGACTTTTTGATAACGTGGATTTTCATCTGGCCCTCCATCAACCGTGACTACCACTAGTTTTACTAGTTCATTGTCAGTTTTAGCTAATGGTCGAAACTCTTCAAGTTCCAGAAGCGTCTCGAAATCCTGAGCATGAGTATTAGCAGTAGATGACCTATGCTTTCCACTTCGAATAGCGATGTATGTTGGTACACTGATAGAGGAAATCTAGACAAGTAAACACCGCGCGGTTATTCCCCTACTCGGTTCTAAAGCGAGAAGGGGAATTACCGCGCGCTGTTCACTTAACGTATGCATTATTTGCGGGAATCCCCGAAAATGCGTTTCGTTTTCAAACGAAGACAATGTGAGGGTTGCCATTATCTAGACTCCCCTACCCCCCTTGTCATCCAAAGTAAGCAAAGCAAAGAACACCCCATAGTGCTCACGTAATACTTGAACGGCAACTGTTGCGAATTACTGACGAACACGAAATGTTTGAATTGGTTTAGAAGAAAAACGTAACCCATCCCTTTTTGCATCAAAATAAAATTTATATTCCGGAATGGTTTGCGATTCATATCGGCAAGGTAAACTAGTGTACTTTGCTACAAAATGCCCTTTGAACTATCCCTATACATTTCTCAATAGACTAGTAGGGATGGCCGGAAAACAGGTATTTTGGGATAAACAATTAGAAATTCTCAAAAACTATTTCATCAATCTACTCCAATTTTGTTGTGGTTGTTTAGAAGTACGAATCCGACAAATTTAAAGAATTTCAAATATCTGCGAGAAACTATCGTCGCATTACCAACAAGTGCCAAAACTTAGATTTTGCCTCATTTTTCGGCCATAACATTTTTTCTATTGGTCGGATCTTTTTAACTGTGGTCTCATATTGTAGGTCTCATAAATACCTAAGAATCTTGTGGAAAAAGATTTTTCGTTCCTGTCAATACTTTCGATTGAATCCCCAAAACGACACGGTTTCTCATTCTTTGTTGTCGAATAAAAAGTTTTCCCACAAAAATTGATGTACCCATTTTATCCGTTCATCTAAATGTAAATACCCGCTTGAACAACTTACACCAATAAAACCAGACTTTACAATTATTTCGGAGAAATTTGCTCATATGATTAGACTACTTGTACCATTGTCAAATTTGCTGCTGTCAACATAAAACCTATCATCATGTATGTACTTCATTTATAGTCAACGCCAAACAAAGTGGCGTGCACGTCATCACGATAAAAATTCCCCGACCTAATGCCTAGGTTTCTATCACAAACAATTGCTCTATTGCAGTTTCATATTAATGTGATATATAAATTGTAAAATGGTCATTACTCTCTTATTATGGTTAATAGTCATATAAATATTGTTATTAAAATATCACATAAGTTGCTTTCTGATAAATTTAGACGCATTATGCGAAATAAAATGTTTTGCAAACGCTCCAATCACTTATCGACATGTAAACGCACTAAACCGATTTCGCAGCGTTGACACATTGTCACCTTGAAACTTATTTAAACTGGGAACTGACATTTGTATTAATTTTGACACTGAATCAATTTGTGGCATTTCAAATCTTTATAAATCCTTTGGCCCCGCATACTGTAAATCAACAACTGTTTGTTTCAAAACAAAATTATTCATTTTACGAGTAGATAAAGGCAAACAGTTAAATAGTCGGTGTAAGGAACTCGTGGCCTCGTTAATGCACTACTTTGAGCAAGAAAGGGACAACAACGGGCCTTTGTTGCCTTTAAATGCTGTTCAAGAGGTAGGTTACTAATAATTATATGTAATGTATATTAATAATAGTGAAATTTTATTTCATTTTTTGTAGCGTGTTGCTGCTGCTTTAAAAATTAGTTTAAGGACAGTTAGTCATATTTCCGAGGGTGTGAAAAGTGATGCAAATTTAGAATCGCCCAAGAAAAAGCGGAGTTATATTAAACGTGTAACCAACACAGCGACATTGGATACAAGTGCCATTCGAGAAGTGATCTATAATATGTATCACAAAAGTAAGATCTTATTATAATAACTTATCAGAAATTTGCATTAATTTGTTAACTAAATTATAATGTCATATTACACATGGTTTCAGAAGAACAAGTTACGATACAAACTTTATGGTCTCGATTAAGAGATAGGGCATTATTTGATGGTAGTGCCACGTCTTTAAGGCGGTTGCTTAGAGATCTTGGATTTAAGTGGCTTAAGGACAATCCGCGACGAGGGCTCATGGAACTACCAAGTATAGCTTTGAAAAGGGTGGAATTTCTAAGGCAATACAATCAAGCCAAGGTTGAGGCCTTATACCAGTTTGTCTTCCCCGATGAAACTTGGATATTTCAAAATGGGACCATAGGTCGCTCTTGGCAAAATGGAAACCAAAAAAGCGTGAAAGCTATTAAAACAGATGGTAAAAGGTATGTACTTTTACACAATTTGCACTATAAAATTTAAAATTAATATATTTTAGATACATTATATTACATGCTGGAAATGAAAATGGGTTTATTGAGGGTAGTGAAGCGATATTTTCTTCGAAAACAAAATTGAGCGATTACCATGGAGAGATGAACCAGGACAATTTTTTGAAATGGTTTCAACATCAGTTATTAGAAAAATTGGAGAGTCCATCTATGATTATACTGGATAACGCCCCTTATCACAGCATGATATTGAACAAAGTGCCCAACAATGCATGGACAAAAAAAAATATCCTAGACTGGTTGACAAATCAAAACATACCATTTTTAAACACAATGTTTAAAACAGAGCTATTGAGTATTGTTGCTCGGTACATAATGCTTCTTAATTATATATATTTTGGTCGACAGTTTATATTTCTTTTGTTTATTCCTATTCTTAAAATAACTGCTTTTTTAGAAACAAACCACCTAAAATATACGTGATTGATGAATTGGCGGAACAACATGGGCACAAAGTTCTTCGTCTGCCTCCTTACCATTGTATATTTAACCCTATTGAGTTAATTTGGGGCATAGCAAAAGGTTACTATAACAGACATATTGGTAGAGATGGTAACAGTGAAAAAGACTGTTTGGATATGTGGAACGAGGCTCTACAAACGGTTACCCCAGACATGTGGAAAAATAGTGTTCGACATACTGAGCAAGAAATTTTTAAATGGTATGAAAGAGAACGAATTTTTGATCGACCAGACATCGAACCTTTAATAATCAACTTTGAGAGTGATGAGGATTCAGATTCAGACAGCGCTGAAGAAAGAAACTCCGACTAACTTTATTGTACAGAAAAAGCTTACACCAGTAGCTTACCTAATTTTAGAATGCATTTTTCTGTATGAATTCTGTAAAATAAATACCATGCATAAAATTTGGAGGACCCCATTTGGATTTTTATTCAGTACCTTTAAGCTATCAATTAAATATGGTAGTTTCATAGTGTCATCTGATCAATAATTGTCATACTTAATGATTATGCAAGTACAGATCTATAATTTTATTATACTATTATTTTTGTTCTCATTTGAGGTTAATATTGCTTATAAACCTAGATATGTAAATAATAAATTTTATTATTTTACAAAAAGTTTGGCAACAATGTAAATTTTTCAACACACCCACCTTGATGACGTGCACGCCACTTTGTTTGGCGTTGACTATAGAGCCTCTTCATTAGCTTAAAAACATGTAATGTCTGAATCCCTAAGAGGCGTTTAAAATGCATCACACTTCACGGCTAAAGTTGGTTGACGTTTTTGATGAGCAGTTACAAAATATCATCACCCGAGCCTTTTAGAACTAAATGAAGAACATGATTGAGCTTTCGACATTTCACAGTTTCTTATTTACCCAGATCTTGACAGACAATGTCAAACTGGACAGTTGGCGAGGAATTCCTCGACTTGGCTGTTTAAGTTCTAGTCAAATTTTAAGTGTATCTGGTGCAACAGGAACATGGAAGTTAAGATTCAGCCTAGCTTAAATTTGACCTTAGCAAGGCGGTGAGACTGGGCATAAGTGAAAGATTTGACGCAAAGTGTCACGTTTGAACTTGGATTAACAAGCTTTGATACATCTTCTCATTGTAATGAGTTCAAAAAGCTACCTACGCATACCAAGTGGACGAGAATGTACAAATTCACAAGTTTCGTAGCTGAGAACGTAAGGCAGAGTTATCACGCCGAGCTTCCAATCTTGGATGTACGATACTTATAGTATTGGATTGTCTCTTCTGCTAGTTCAAAGATAACTTTACCTCAGTTCACTCTATAAGCCGATATCCAGCAAACTAGAGTTACTGGGGACCTTTTACATCAATATATTGGGTCTACCTGGTAATTTACCATGTTTTGGGAAACTGCTAGAGGTACAGAATACTCCATAATGTATGATTTTATGGCAGCTTACCTTGAAAATTTACAGTGGATGAGGAAGCTGATTTGATAAGATGGTACATATACCATGCACGAGTAAATGGAAACATACAAATAGTAACTACTGGCGGTTAGGCAATGATATAGCAAAAGCGCATTACTGTCACCTTTATGTTACTATACGCCGTTAACCGTACGTATGTCCTTATCTTCCTGATTATCTGAGAAAAGGTAAGAACAGCGTAACTATTCCTGAATATCAGACACCATTTTATTGTCAAATTATTTTGTAGGTTCTCCAGACTCTCGCCAAGACCACATTTTTACAATTATACACAGCACTGCAATCCCCAATGGTAAGAGGAAGACTGAGAATCATAGAAATTCAATCAAAAACATCATAATTTTCAGGTAGCTGCATTGCTAGCTACTACTCGTATATGCTGTGGCGAAAGTCTAGGCGAATACCGTTCACCTTCCGAAGTCTCCGATGTTTTCGGAGTATAAACTTACCTTATTGCTTGGAAGGTAAGATGAATGCCGGTTTCCTCTGTCTGCAGACGAAACTCTACCCCGCAGTTTAACAGACCTGTGATCTGCTGTATTGGTAGGACTGTTCAGATGGAGTTCTGATATTGTCAGAGCAATAGACTCTGCTCTGGGCTGCGGTTTCAGGCCTGCTATGTTGATTCTTTCCCACGTTTCGAATGCTGAAAAATTATGAGTTACACTCACACAATAGAAAAGTTTAAATGGGTAGAAATTTCTTGATTTTTTATTATAGTTCAATTTCATTATGGATATAATTATAGAACCAATGTTACAAGGTCATACAGTTCGAACGTCTTTAATGGTAAAGAGTCGCGAAGTCTTATTTGCAGTAAAGAAATGAGGGTTCCAGATTACGTAAGAAATGGGATTTTATCTGGATATGCGCAAACACGTTATGCCCACGATTTCCCAAATGATGAGGTCTCTAAAATGTAGGGTATGTTCCTTCTGACAGCTATTTTTATCTTAAAATACAAATAGTCTGAGAAGCTATTTGAAACATAACCATATCTCCATGGTCAAACTCTTCAGGCTTCTGGTTCTAATTCTAACTCAACCAAGCTTTATACATCGAAAAATACTCGACACGATTTCTTCTTTATCTCTAAAAGATCTATTTGACCTCAGCCACCTCACAATCTTCCTAATATACATGTCTATTCATCAGAGCTTTGGCCTGTGGAGAGACCGAACCAAAACAAAGAGCTCTTCAGTATAGTATGCATTTTAGAAAAAAGGTATGGCCAAAAGGAGGTTGGCAAGCTATAAATCTAAACACATGTGTGTTTACACCTGTTAGAGCTACCCCTATGATCTATTTTACGATACCTTTTATTGTTAAGGGTTGTCCAATAGGGACGCAGGAAAGTAAACGTCAACTTGACATAGACGCCATCTTTGTTTTCTGTCACCGACATGTCATTTTGTTAGTTGAATGTTTACCATTGATCGCTATGGAGTCGTATTCGATTGAAGACCCCATTAAAGTTATTCAAGAGCACTACAAAAATGGTGCAAAAGTAAAAAACACGTTTCGCGCGCTTCGTGAACATTTCGGTCGCAACAACCGCCCAAACGAAACAACCATCGGTCGTCTGGTGCGTAAATTCGAGGCAACAGGTTCTGAGGCAAATCTGCCAGGCTCTGGCCGGCCAAGGAGCGTTCGCACACCGGAAAATATTGCTGTTGTGAAGGAGAGTCTGAGAGACGATCCGAAACAATCAACAAAGCGTCGATCCCAAGAATTGGGCATTTCGAGAACCAGTTTGCTCCGCATTCTCCACAAGGATTTGAATGTACACGCCTACAAGATAAAAATTGACGCAAGAGCTGCGTCGGGCCGACCATTTTTCGCGCCGAACGTTCTCAGATTGGCTCCTTGAACACCGCCAAATTGATGCCAATTTTTCATCAAAAATCATGTTCAGCGACGAAGCGCATTTCACTTTGAATGGGACGGTAAACAAGCAAAACTGCCGCATCTGGGCGAACGAAAATCCCCGTGAGTATCAAGAGCAGCCGATGCATCCTCAAAAAGTGACTGTGTGGTGTGCATTGTGGTCAAAACGCATCATCGGACCTTACTTTTTCGAAAATGCGGCCGGGGACGCCGTTAACGTCAATTCTGAGCGATATCACGTGATGATAGAGGACTATTTTTTGCCGCAACTTTTGTTTATTTCCAACAAGACGGTGCAACATGCCACACAACCAACGTCAATATCCATCGATTGCAGTCCTTCTTCGGTGATCGCGTGATTTCGCGCAGAGGAAATGTGCCATGGCCACCAAGATCGTGCGATTTGACTCCCTTGGACTTCTTTTTATGGGGATATTTGAAAAGCAAAGTCTACGTCAACAAGCCAGCCACCCTCCAAGAACTCAAAAACAACGTTCATTGCCGAGATAAATGCCATAGAACCGACCATGTTGCAAAATGTCATTGAAAATTTCGACCATCGCGTGGACGTCTGTAAATCCAGTCGTGGTGAACATTTGAGCGATATTATTTTTCATACATAAATGGTATAAATGAACCTTCAAACTAAAGTACCCAACTTAATTTGAATACCAATCTTTCTTGTTTTAATATGCGTTTACTTTCCTGCGGTTGTTTTGGACAACCCCATAGTTCCTCGAGAAACATTTGTATTAGGCATTTGTGTATACTCTAAAAGCTCTTGCAATATCAAAACCATTTCACGTATCGGACAAAAAAGATTACTCGCAATATAGGAGTATCAAAACTATATAAGGAATTCATTCCAGATATTAATATACACATACTTTTACTGCTTAATCCTCTTGGCAACAAAGTATTGCATCGCGAAAAATTTTTAAAACAGGATATTGTACTTTTTGGGTGTTATATGATTCGTACATCTCGAAGAACCATGTAACATTTGTCAATGATCCTGACTTAATTTCCAGTCTAGACTACCTACCTTAATTTTTCATATATACGTAGATTCACATCCTCAAATATTCGCATATCATTAAGAAACACCCTGTATATCTGGCGGTCATTGCGGACATCTACCATAGAGTGGCATAGTATAAAGATCAAGGTAAAATAAATACGATTTGCGAACAGGTATCAATGCATTTCTACATGATCAGGCTTTGCCTTCGCGACTATTTCAGAACTCACCGAAACTGAACCTCCACAGCTCGTCGCACGGCTCTCCACCCCTCTCCCCTCCAAAAACATACATAGACTTGTATAGCGCGCAAGCGGCGTGTCCATACAGTGGTCCAGGTCCAGTTTTGGGCTTCACCGCTCTCCATCTTCCAGGTCCCGCCTCCCATCGCCAGAGGTCGCTACGTGCCTGGAGGTCGGTCATGCCTCCGAAAATCCACATGCAGCCGTCGGAGAAGACCGCGGAGTGCTTGTGACGCGAGGGAGGACATGTTGAGGAGGAAGAGCAGTGCGTTGAGGTTGAGGGCGACAGCAGGTGCCAGGAGTCGGTATCTAAAAACAATTCGTCAGATAGCGTAAATCGAGGTTATATGGCCATAGAGGAGAGATGACCCAACTCGATATTTTCCTAAATAGTTATTAGAGGGCGTTTTTTTCAATAAGGCGTAATGTACTGTTGTGTGATCGTGCTATACTAGAAACTCTGACTCAATTAACTAAGTTTAAAGGTAAGTTATTTTAAAATCACTGTTTACATGGGTTCAATAGTTTTTGAATACAATTTTCCACTAGCCAAATTTCATAAAATTTTATTAGTTTTTAACAATCCGTCTGGTGTTTATTTTACCATGTGTGGTGTGTTTTATGTTGCCTAAGCGTTTTACGCTAATTAACGTATATAAAATCTAAATTATGCTATGGTAATCGTTCCTCGAAGAAAAGGAGAGATGGCCCACTTATTTCCTATGTATGATGGCCATCGTAGATCATATTTGTATTTATTTTAGATGCCAAATATTTATAAAAGAAAATCATTGGAGAGGGCCAAATGGACCGAGGAGCAACTGAAATCTGCAATGAGTACTGTTAAAGATGAGGGATTATCTGTACGTCAGGCTGGAAGAACTTACGGTATTCCGAGAAAGACATTGGAAAGGCGAAAGAATGAAGACCATAAGAAAAAATTGGGTCCAGATACTACTTTCGGAGCTGCACATGAAAACAGACTGGTTCGGCATATTGAAGAAATGCAAAAAGTGGATCTCCACTTACTAGAGATGATTTGCGAACCATAGCTTATAAATTTGCTATTCAGCTGGGCTTAAAACATAAATTTTATAATAGGCTTCAGAAAGCTGGTTAAGTTTGGCTGCATTCATTTCTCACCAGAGATCCACAAATATCAGTTAGAAAAGCAGAAAGTTTGCCGTTGGCGAGGTGCACAGCAATGTCTAGAAAGGTAGTACACTAAGTGACATATAAATCCGAACACCCAGTTTAAATGGTATTATTTTAATAAAAGTTGGTGAATGTATTTATCTTACTTTAAATAACAAGTGAAAAAATTTTCAGCCTTATCAGTTGGACATTCCGGTTTTTATACTGCTTTTTTTTAATTCACTAACGCTCTAAAAATGAATATTTCAGCCGCAGTAAAGAATCAACGTTGGCGGATTTTGGTTCTTGACATCCTTTACGATCGGTTACGATGCCTAGAGTACGGAGACCTGTACGATTTCGTCAACTTAGTGAGTTTGATAGGGGCCGTATAGTGGGACTTCGGGAAGCTGGACTTTCTTTTCGGGCAATTGCAGTTAGAGTGCAAAGAAGTGTAGAGACACAGTGGTTAGGTGTTGTCAGGCATTGCTTCGAGAAGGCCGTACGCAAAGAGCAAGAGGCACTGGACGCCGCCGTTGAACAACAGACCGTGAAGATCGCCGCCTAAGATTATTGGTCTTAAGGGACCGTTTCTCCACTACCAGGTCCATTGCAAATGAATGGTTTGCAGAACACGGAAGACCTATTGGCATGCGAAGTGTTTACCGACGAATGAGAAGTTTTGGCTTGTTTTCATACCGACCACACTGGGTCCTCCCTTTAACTCTAGAACACCGACGTAATCGCCTTGAGTGGTGCAGACAACGGTCACTCTGGGATCAGGAATGGAACAGTATTGTCTTTAGTGACGCATCTCGATTTTGTTTAGGCATGCACGATGGTCGTGCCAGGGTTAGAAGGCGACGTGGTGAAAGGAGGAATCCACAGTTTTTTGTTGAAAGACATGTTCATCACACTGTTGGAGTTATGGTTTGGGGTGCTATAGCTTATGGTTCCAGGTCACCTTTAATCTTCATCAGAGGTAACATGAACGCGCAGCGTTATATCCACGAAGTTCTAGAACCCCATCTTTTACCCTATCTTGAAACCCTGGCAGATCCAACTTTCCAACAAGATAGTGCCCGACCACATGTTGCAAGAGTCACAATAGACTTCTTTCAACATAATGATGTGACATTGCTACCATGGCCACCAAGATCTCCCGACTTATCCCCAATTGAGCACGTGCGGGATATGATGTGTAGGAGATTGCTCAATTTGCAACGTTCTCCTCAGACTCTAGAAGCACTTCGAGAGGAGTTGGTGGTTGCCTGGAATGAGATACCACAGGAGGACATTGACCACCTGATCAGAAGCATGCCTAGGCGCCTTGGAGAATGCGTAGCACATCAGGGTGCATCCACACATTATTAAAGGTCAAAGGGCTTTAAAGCAGTGCAATCATTTTGAAATTTTTGTCATTTACTTATTATGCTTCATTAAAAACTTATACAAAATTTTATTAAAATAAAACCATTGAAACTGGGTGTTCGGATTTATATGTCACTTAGTACATATTGGATGGTCTGCGATTGAAACTGGTTTGTAGATATTTAAACCATGTGTTCTGGGGGATATAAAACGAAAATTATAGGTTAGAAATGTGACATGGAATATTTCATTCATTAGTTTGGCTAATCTTGCTCGTTTGAGTCGCAAATGCAAGTGATTAGATGCAATGGTCTTGTGGACTGTAAAACGGTTTTTATAGTATTTTTGCCTAAAATATAGTTTCGACGTCTAGGAACCGAAAAGTTTCTCCTAGTATGCGAATACCTTTTAAATAGCTATGTCTACATGTTCTTTCGACAGTTCACTTGTTCTTGCCCACAAAAACAGCGCTCAAAAGGTTTGCTGCCCTGCATAACATATAAGTTGTTGGAACATCTCTTTTGATTTGCCATAAATCAACTTTGCTCTAAAAAGAGTCGGTCATTGTAAGACTTGCTCAAAACGCCTTCTTGGTCGCTATTTCTCCAATGTGGCGGAACAATCTGCTATGGCACTACCGATAACAAAGTATGAATTCGGAAAGAACTCATCAAAATATTCAAATGCAGTGATTTTCAAAGCTCCCAATACCTTGAAGAAGTGGTCGCTAACCCGTCGATCGCGAGCTACCGGTAGCTCGCTAGTGCAATTCTGGTGGCTCACAACAAATTTCAAAAAGGTGTACAAATCATAGAAGCTTCCGTAAATTTTGTAATTTCTCATAATAAACACCAACAGAGGCAACACTGCGGTGAGCGATCTGTTGCGAGAACGATCTCGATTACTTTGAACGACACAAAGCCCAGTTGGGCTAGAGTTGGCCTGCAATTAAAAACGTGAAGATGAAGACATACCGTTTCCATTCGGAATGGGAAGAACAATATTTCTTCATCTATTTCCGTTTCTAAAAAGGTGTCCCAGATCATTACACAAAAGAAAATACCTTATGAAGACGAGGAAATGATAAAACATACGTTTTAAGAAGCTACAGATTCATTGTTTGCCAACTTAAGAAATAAAGACGAGATCGTTTGAAGTTTATTACACTAAAAGGGCATACTACTGGGCAGGACTTGTTTTCTCCGTTTAAAAATAGTATTTCTTTTGAGGAAATTCCAATATCGAAAATGGTAGGCAACCGATGACGCTTTAGCTACGTATGGTGGGTCATGTTAGGGATCTCGTAGTGTTATGTCGTAAAGTTGAAAGTTGTCCGCAATTTTTCTGTTACCACTGCATTATCTATCAGCAAGCATTACGCGGACATTTTCTAGAACTAAACAACGTTATGAAACTGGTAGTAAAAATTGTGAACAGGATTACAAAAAAGATTATTCCAATCTTGGCCGATGAAATTGACTGTTATTTCTACACTTATTGATCTACATAGGAAACACCATATAAGAATGCATCTATTACCGAAGTGATATGCCCACAATTCGTTGCAAGATCCTTTCAGGTCCTGATATCCGCCATATATGAGCATTGACCCATTGTAAACCAAAGCAGTATGGCCTCTCCTCCCTTTCGGCGTGGTTACACCTGCAAAAAATGCGAACCTTTATTGACAAATCAGAATTTGCTGGTAAGGTTTGTCGATGCCAGGAGCCACAAGCTTTTGAGGTTCTCTAATCTGAGGCCTGATTCTACCTGCTAATTCTGGCTACCACGCACTGGCAATCCAGCTGGCTTAGACATTTCTGTCTAATTTACATATATTTTATTAACGAGACTTCAATAAACTTCTTACTTTATTTATATTATAGGATTTCGATCGACATAAACCATATACGTATACCTAACTATGTAAGTTTTGGAGGCGTACGTATATCTATAAGTATCCTTGTTGAATTCGATCAAAAGCACTAGCTAAGTAACTTTAAAGAGTTGATATAGTCGTTATAGATCAGTAGGTATTTATTGTACTTGTGAATATTAATCGACCAACTTATCATCAGACCTACTGGGACCAGAGTATTTGTCAAAATGAATGAAACAAGTTGCTTTACTTTATGATTTGTGGTAAGAATGACGCGTTTCTCTCATCAAGCCCTTACATCAGATACCCATAGCATAGGGATGATTATAGAAATTACAAATCGCCATTTTGCGGCGGCCACCATAATGTATCTAGAATGACGTCAATTTACTCATTACAATAATCTTGGAATCATTAAAGATCGAAACAAATAATCAATTTCCAAACAGTCGGATTTTTACTTGCCTTTTTTGGTACGTTTTTTCTTCCAAGAATTCGCCTTGATGTCATACACCCACAGAGGTGTTTCTGTAGCTGCGGAGAATCCTACTTCTCCTCCGAAGACGTAGATGCAGTCTTTGTAAACAACCGCAGTGTGTTCTTGAAGACATGGCAGCTTGTCGCCAGATGGTTGAAGTTGGGTCCACTTACCCGTAACTGTGAGAAAACAAAAGATGATGAAATGGCCAAGAAGTAAGAAAGACAGAAAATTACGAGCATCAGGAAATCTCTAACAAGAAAATACTGTTTTGGAATTGCAATGGTTGAAAATTCAACTATTTTCTAAGGATAATTTAAAAGTATATAACGATTTGAGTGATTCCGACAAAGTTTTTTGAGCTGTAGTATCCGAAATACTGATGCTTTGAAATCTTTCAAAGTGTTGAAAATCTTGAATTTTAGGAAACCTGAATATGTTTGAAGGTTTTGGAGATATCGAGGTTCCAAAAAATATGCGGAGTTAATCATTTCGGAAGCAGCAACGGTTTCGAAGACTTTCAGATTTAATGAACGTTAAAATACTGAACATTTTGAAATTTCTGAAGGTTTGACGTTTCTAAAAATTAATTTACAATAATTTTTTTGGATTCAGATAATTTTAGAAGATTTGCAAAAGTAAATACTCACTTTAATACAAAACCAGTTAATACCTTGATGAATACGATTAAGTTTGAGAAGAACGTACTAGTTATGTGTCTCAACTTGACAGATCCTGTTCTGGAAAATTTGGGCAATAATTTTTGTAATTTTTTGACATAAATAATCCCGGAAGTAAGACATACGTCATTTCTGGTCTACATACTTACAACTTTTTTACTTTTAAAGATGTAGTATCAAATTTGTTTTCTGGGTAAATCGGGTGCGTAGATTCCAAATTCGATATCGATACATCGCTAGAATTTACGGCTAGCCCGGAAAAATAGTTTCTCGTCAACTTTTCACCCTAAATTCCGTCTGATAACACTTAAGAAATTTTTCACTGTGATATTCATATTCAGCGCCCCAAATTACCTCATTGTGCAAAGCTCCGCTCTCATGTAGCCATCGATAGTAAAAATGGATCCTTAGCACCTTAAAGTCGCAAAAAACGCCTAGTTTTGCAATTTTTCGCTAAGTAATTAGATCTACATCATAAACGGGGTCACATACATATAAAACGACCCCGGATTCGATATGGGCAGCCCAAAATACGTGGAATAAGGGTCATTTGAACCGCATTTAAAGCATTTTAACATATAATTACCATAGGGGTATTCTTACCAAAAAGTCACAAAATGGGTCAGTCGGGGACGTGAACGCAACATATCTTATAATACGCTTTTGGGTCGCTGAAACCGAATCCATGGCCCATTCCGTCCGAAAATGCCTCGTTTTCAAGATACTTGCAAGAATTCAACTTTGTCAAAAAACGACTAATAAAAAATTTCTAAAAACCCTTGCGCGTCTATGATCCAGATGGAAACTTGTTTTCTGGGTAAATCGGGTGCGTAGATTCTAAATTCGATGTCGATACATCGCTAGAATTTACGGCTAGCCCGGAAAAATAGTTTCTCGTCAACTTTTCACCCTAAATTCCGTCTGATAACACCTAAGAAATTTTTCACTGTGATATTCATATTCAGCCCCCCAAATTACCTCATTGTGCAAAACTCCGCTCTCATGTAGCCATCGATAGCAAAAATGGATGTTTAGCACATTAAAGTCGCAAAAAACGCCTAGTTTTGCAATTTTTCGCTATGTAATTAGATCTACATCATAAACGGGGTCACATACATATAAAACGACCTCGGATTCGATATGGGCAGCCCAAAATACGTGGAATAAGGGTCATTTGAACCGCATTTAAAGCATTTTAACATATAATTACCATGTAGGGGTATTCTTACCAAAAAGTCACAAAATGGGTCAGTCGGGAACGTGAACGCAACATATCTTATAATACGCTTTTTGGGTCGCTGAAACCGAATCCATGGCCCGTTCCGCCCGAAACTGCCTCGTTTTCAAGATACTGGCAAGAATTCAACTTTATCAAAAAACGACTAATAAAAAGTTTCTAAAAACCCTTGCGCGTCTATGATCGAGATGGAAACTGCTATCTGGCAATGTGAGTTTAAGAAATATTCCATAATGAAATACGATTTTCTGAAGTTGATGAGATCATTTTCTTCTTAGTATATTTATTTTTAAGCGTTAAACAAAGGCCTCACTTCTCACACTGCAATTTCAGGTACCTATAATATAGTTTTGCGCACACAAAAAGGAGTGACCTTGGTTCAAGAACAACGATCTTCAATTGAGGACCGTGACTTCGTTATGTTTCTAAGATAGTTATCTTTGATTTAAGGTCAATTTCTCAATTGTGAAGTGATACGTTTCTCAAGTATCTGTGATCCCGAATTAATATACTAAGTGACATATAAATCCGAACACCCAGTTTAAATGGTTTTATTTTAATAAAATTTTGTATAAGTACTTAATGAAGCATAATAAGTAAATGATAAAAATTTCAAAATGATTGCACTGCTTTAAAGCCCTTTGACCTTTATTAATGTGTGGATGCACCCTGATGTGCTACGCATTCTCTAACGCGCCTAGGCATGCTTCTGATCAGGTGGTCAATATCCTCCTGTGATGTCTCATTCCAGGCAACCACCAACTCCTCTCGAAGTGCTTCTAGAGTCTGAGGGGGACGTTGCAAATTGAGCAATCTCCTACCCATCATATCCCACACGTGCTCAATTGGGGATAAGTCGGGAGATCTTTCTGGCCATGGTAACAATGTGACATCATTATGTAGAAAGAAGTCTATTGTGACTCTTGCAACATGTGGTCGGGCATTATCTTGTTGGAAAGTTGGATCTGCCAGGGTGTCAAGATAGGGTAAAAGATGGGGTTCTAGAACTTCGTGGATATAACGCTGCGCGTTCATGTTACCTCTGATGAAGATTAAAGGTGACCTGGAACCATAAGCTATAGCACCCCAAACCATAACTCCAACGGTGTGATGAACATGTCTTTTAACAAGAAACTGTGGATTCCTCCTTTCACCACGTCACCTTCTAACCCTGGCACGACCATCGTGCATGCCTAAACAAAGTCGAGACTCGTCACTAAAGACAATACTGTTCCATTCCTGATCCCAGAGTGACCGTTGTCTGCACCACTCAAGGCGATTACGTCGGTGTTCTCGAGTTAAAGGGAGGACCCAGTGTGGCCGGTATGAAAACAAGCCAAAACTTCTCATTTGTCGGTAAACACTTCGCATGCCAATAGGTCTTCCGTGTTCTGCAAACCATTCATTTGCTATGGACCTGGTAGTGGAGAAACGGTCCCTTAAGGCCAATAATCTTAGGCGGCGATCTTCACGGTCTGTTGTTCTACGGCGGCGTCCAGTGCCCCTTGCTCTTTGCGTACGGCCTTCTCGAAGCGATGCCTGACAACACCTAACCACAGTGTCTCCACTTCTTTGCACTTGCAATTGCCCGAAAAGAAAGTCCAGCTTCCCGAAGTCCCACTATACGGCCCCTATCAAACTCACTAAGTTGACGAAATCGTACAGGTCTCCGTACTCTAGGCATCGTAACCGATCGTAAAGGATGTCAAGAACCAAAATCCGCCAACGTTGATTCTTTACTGCGGCTGAAATATTCATTTTTAGAGCCTTAGTGAATTAAAAAAAAGCAGTATAAAAACCGGAATGTCCAACTGATAAGGCTGAAAATTTTTTCACTTGTTATTTACAGTAAGATAAATACATTCACCAACTTTTATTGAAATAAAACCATTTAAACTGGGTGTTCGGATTTATATGTCACTTAGTATATAATTTCATAGAAGCCCATGCTCTTGAATCAATAGCACTCTTCTTTGTGTGCGATAATGCGACGAAATATTGACCTACCTCAAATTCATTTTGTTATGCTTATGAGTTACTGCTTGTTTTAATACAGGGTTACAGGAAAAGTCGTGCTAGATCCGTTAAGGGCGTGTAGTACCCATCATTTCTGACTTATTTCATTATGAAACACCCTACCCTAAACTTAACCCTTTTCGAGATATTCAACTTTTAATGTTTTTATTGAAAATTGCCGATTTTTAGGCTACTAAATGTATTTATTTTTATTTTGTGTGTGTTATTATTACTATTATTGCATTTTAACATGTGTAATAAGATGCTTTAGGACGTCAATCATTAAAATAGTCCATAAGTTAATTGAATAGGCTGTAGTAGATAAGTGAATGTTAAGAAATTGAAAAAAATATCAGAAAGTTTATTTTTCTCTAAGGGATATCTAAAAAAAATATTATGGCAATTGTTCGGCAGATGTGTTTTAAAATATCTATGTTTTATCAGCTATCTAACGAGGTATAACAATCTAGGATTTTATTTAAATGCATTGAAAAAACTTAGTTTCATAGGCGACAGTGGAGAAGAAAATTGATACTTAGCCCTAAAAAGTAAAATAAAACAATAGGTAAGCATGAAATATCATTTATTAAATCAGGTTTTCACACAACTTTTTCTTACTCTACAGTTCATGTTCAACATGGCTGCCTCTGTTTCTAATACATTGTCGCATCCTTCTACGGAGACCAGTCTTTACAACTGCAGTGGTCAACGTTGTCCTTAGTTGATTTGCTGCATCGACAATCCTTTCTCTTAATTCTTCCACAGACGAAACTGGATTTGGCTCGCTGTAGACAAGACTTTTCATGCACCCCTACACATGAAAATCCATGGGGGTTAGGTCCGGACTTCATGCTGGCCATGGCAACGGCCCACCTCGTCCTATCCATTTGTATGGATAATTTGTGTCCAGCCAGTCTCTGACACTTCTCCTGAAATGGGCAGGGCAGCCATCATGTTGGAACCACATGTCCCTTCTCAAGTTGAGTGGCAGATCATCCAGCAAATCTCTGAAGTCTCCTCTCAAGAAGTTTTCGTAATTTTCCCCATTTAGATTGTCCGGGAGAAAGTAAGGTCCAATCAAATGGTTGGAGATAATGCCCATCCACACATTCACGCTGAATCTTCGTTGGGACCTCGCCACTCTTTTCTTATTGGGATTCCTTAGTACTTTTGGGGCCCAGTAATGGGCGTTGTGATAGTTAGTTATGCCATCGTTATCAAATTTGGATTCATCTGTCCATAAGATATTTCTTAGAAAATCTGGGTCTTCTACGTCAGCATTTAGCATAAATCTGCTGAAGTCCAACCTTCTCGCGGGGTCTCCTTCTTCAATAGTGTGTACCGGCGTGTAATGGTACGGGTATAGGCCAGCAGTATGCACTGTAAACCACACTCTCCATTGCGAAAGTCCCAGATCACGGGCAACACGATTAGTGGAAATGGTCGGATCCGCTCGAAAGCGTTGCACTATCTCATTGTCCTGCAGTTCTTCGTTGTCATAAATTCGTGGTCTTCCCAGGTCTGTATTTCGTCTCAAAACAGAGCCAGTTTCTCGAAGTCTTAGATAAACTCTGTTAAAAACGGCCACATCCGGCACTCGACGACCGGGGAAGCGAGTTCTGTATTCGTTGCGAGCTTGCGCAGATACACAATCGCAGTATCCGTAACAAATAAGCATATCAGCATATTCCTCAGGTGTGTAGGACGTCATCTTCAACACTTCCGTATCACAAGTACAAATCAGAGTCCAGTGAACAAGCACAGTATTCACAAATCAGAAGAAATAGTCCAGAATCGTAGCCAAGTCGAGGAAAAGAGCAAAACGATATCACATCTACTATGTACGAAGCACAAAAGCAGACTGACAACCAAAACAACATCCCGTGTTGGATTTCCAGCCCTAACCGGTTATTATAATATGTTTTCTTTCATTCGCACCCACATTAAATCGTCATGTCTCGCTCGCACGGTGCGTCTAAACTTGAAGGAGAATAGGCGTGGGAACTGCTACTGGAGCGTCCCAACTACTTTTTTTCTACGAAATGTAATACAAATCCTAGATTGTTATACCTCGTTAGATAGCTGATAAAACATAGATATTTTAAAACACATCTGCCGAACAATTGCCATAATATTTTTTTTAGATATCCCTTCGAGAAAAATAAACTTTCTGATATTTTTTTCAATTTCTTAACATTCACTTATCTACTACGGCCTATTCAATTAACTTATGGACTATTTTAATGATTGACGTCCTAAAGCATCTTATTACACATGTTAAAATGCAATAATAGTAATAATAACACACACAAATAAAAATAAATACATTTAGTAGCCTAAAAATCGGCGATTTTCAATAAAAACATTAAAAGATGAATATCTCGAAAAGGGTTAAGTTTAGGGTAGGGTGTTTCATAATGAAATAAGTCAGAAATGATGGGTACTACACGCCCTTAACGGATCTAGCACGACTTTTCCTGTAACCCTGTATAAGTTGAAAAATTTATATACAGCTGAAATGGTAGATTTGCCATACATATGACGTAGACAAATCCGAACATTCCCAGTTGAGGGCAGCTGCCCCTAAAGCCGTAAATCCAATAATAATTCATTAATTGCCGTTGCCGACATCATTACAATTTCATCGAACACCCCACCGTATTCGCCAACGAGATTACAGCCCCTAACCGCCGATCCCCTGCCTCGGATCTCCTACATAATTTGTACTTGGCGTACAGAGGCAGACATATGCCAAGCCTCGTCAGAACGGCGCGATGCTCAAATAAAGGAGGGTGGCTGATTTTGGTTGAAAACCGAACTATGATGTACGTGTTACAAGCATTGCGTGAGGCTTTCAGGATGTCTCACAGGATGGTGCTTATCGTAGTGCCAGATTCAAGGACTATACAGGGTGTTTCAGTTTATTGTTGCTTATCTTTAAGATTCGATAGAACTTTTAAAATTAATGCATAATGTCTATATAGACATGGGTCGAAAAATGCGTGGCTTCCGAAATACATGGTGTTTAAATTTACTTTCTAAAATAGTTTTTTTTTAAATATTTCGAACAATATTTGATGTATAACAGTGAAAATTGGTATACAAGGGTTTTTTGTTACGACAAAACGAACCATGGGCATAGTTTTACTGTAGCCGCTAGAGGGCGCTCTCTACTGTACCTGTAGTGTATTAAAATAACCGAAAATTTTTTCTTAGTGCAATTTTTTGCTTCTTGAATAAAAAAACTGATTCTTCGCACTTTTCAACATAAAAAAGCTCTCTTGTGAGTTTTTGTTATAGTTAGCCGTTTTTGAGATATTTCGATTATTAAGGTTCGATGTAATTTTAATTATTTATGGGAAAATAATATTTTTTTTACATTTTCGATTTGGGCATTACAAGTAATTAAGATGATCGTGTAGATTGTGGTTTTAAACATAGCAATAGTCCTAACTCCAAATAAACACAAAAAACAGAATATTAATTTGTTTAATTTTCCACGGCCGATCCATCTTTCTGTTCGTCCAGCCAGTTTCTAACTATTCTCGAATTATGAGCTGGACAACCATCAAGCTGGAACCAGGCCAATCTTCTTAAATCTAACATAACGTCATCCTACATATTTGCATGTTCAGCCTTTAAAAATTCCGCCTTTTAAAATGGTAGGGTCCAAATAGTCGATTACGGTAGATACCAATCCACACGTTCATGCTAAATTCATGCTGAAAATTTCTTTCCCGAACTGCATGCGGATTTTCATGCGACCAAATATGTTGATTATGAAAGTTTACCACTCCACGTCTAGTGAAGCATGACTCATTGGTCCATAAAACGTTACTTAAAAACTCCCTAATATTATCAGTTCTATCAAGAATCCACTGACAAAATGTGATTCTTCGTTCTCCGTCCCCTGGCTGTAGTTCTTGCACAGGTTGCAAATGGTATGGACGTCTATGGTCATTTCTAAGAGCACGGTGAACATGGCTTGCTGAAATTCCCAAGGCACCAAAAACTCTCCTAACACTTGTGGTCGGATCTCTATCAAACTCACGCAGAATCATACGGGTTAATATGCGCTGACGAACATTTATGTTTTGGTCCCTTTGGAGATTTCCAAAACCATTTTCAATTATTTGGCGATGTACTCTTACAAATACTGAGCGAGTTGGATGTCGTCTGTTTGGAAATCTTCGTGCGTATTATCTGGCTGCTTCTGCTGCGTTTCCATTTACAAAGCCATACACAAAATGAATATCCGCTAACTCTTGATTGGAGAATAAAAAAGGCATTTTTATAAAACTTACAAAAAAAAAACAAGTAAAAGAAACTAAATTTCGTGCATTCACAATTGCAAAAAAACGTTTCAGGTTTCAACAGACTACAAAACTAACTGTCAACTAATTGACGTTTAACCTTATTCTGCTTTCAATTTCAAAAATATTTGCAGACACAGCCTACTTCTAAAAATTATCGAGATACTGACTTTTTAACGTTATTTTATCATAAATAATTAAAGATGCATCGAACCTTAAAAATCGAAATATCTCAAAAACGGCTAACTATAACGAAAATTCACAAGAGAGATTTTTTACGTTGAAAAGTGCGAAGAATCGGTTTATTTATCCAAAAATCAAAAAATTGCACTAAGAAAAAATTTTCGGTCATTTTAATACACTACAGGTACAGTAGAGAACGCCCTCTAGCGGCTACAGTAAAACTATGCCATGGTTCGTTTTGTCGTATCAAAAAACCCTTGTATACCAATTTTCACTGTTATACATCAAATATTGTTCGAAATATTTAAAAAAAACTATTTTAGAAAGTAAATTTAAATAGCCTGTATTTCGGAAGCCACGCATTTTTCGACCCATATTTATATAGACTTTATGCATTAATTTTAAAAGTTCTATCGAATCTTAAAGTTATGCAACAATAAACTGAAACACCCTGTATAATTTTTAAAACATTCATCATTTCCAGAATTAAGGAAATGTCATGATTATCAACATTTTTGAGAAATTCAAAATTTTCCAAAAATTAAACTATAAAAATTTTCAAGGGTCAACATTCAAGATTTCAAAACGATTGACTGCGATTTACTGTTTCGCAGTGGTCGATCCGAGCGATAGGCAATGTTTGTTGAATTTACTCGGAAACAGAATTATGACGTACGAGATTTGTTCCAAAAGTATTGCAAATTTTGAATTTTCGTGGGCTACTTATGTTCGATTTTCGATCTTCTTGTGGCCTTATGTTGGTACTCATGACCTTTACTAATTTTGACAATATCGGCCATTTTGATTGTTCAGTCAGTTTTTCACAGCTATTGTGCTTGCACGTGTTTTAGCTTGTCTCCGATTTTTGTCTATTCCAAAATAGATATTCATGAATAAATAAATAATTCTTGAAAACACATGAAATTCGCGATACTTTTTGAACAAACCTCGTATATCTTAGTTCAGCTTGCGTATTGTGTGAGACTATTTTCCGCAGGGGTCAGAAAAACTACCGCTTATGTGTTTTTTAGAGATTGTATTTTCCTTCTATCATCATGACCAAGTCAATGCTTTTGAAGTAAGGTATTTTGTGATATCCCTATGGTAGCATAAACACCATCGTGTTGAGTGAGTACTTCATGAATTTTCTCTTAATTTTCTTCAATGACTCACATAGCATGGGTTCCAGGTTACGCTTGCGTATTCCAGCTTAAAAAGAACAAGCGAATTGGATGCGTTGCAACATTTTGGGGTAGCGCGGATGGTTTACTAAAAGTCGGATTTGCCTAGATCCAGATAGTTATACTAAATGTCGATTTTGTTATAAGAGAGATACTCTTACCTAGGTGATATTTCCAGAAATCTCGCATGGGCAAGTTCCCGTTCCTGCCTCCCAAAAGGTAGACGTGGTCTCCAACCAACGTCGCGCTGTGTTTGGCCCTAGCAGATGGGGCTGAGTTCTTAACGCCAACATCTTCCGGAGTTACAATGCTCCACATTGCCGTTAACCTAGAGAAGAAAATATATATATATATATATATATATAGTCTTGAAATGGTTAAAAGAATCACACCTTAAATTAATATTTGTTCAATGCTTTGGAAACGGCAAGTAGAGCCGCAAATGGGCTCGCTAGGTGCCTCATCGTTGGTTGTCAGAGCGGTCCGTGGGACCTTAGCTCTTGAGTCACAGTGTCAGTTTGTAAATCTTCAGGTCTGGTAACCCAGAAACCAGACAATTTTAAGGAAAAAAAGGGAAGGAAAGGAGAGAAGGAAGGAACTGAGCAAAGGGGGAGAAGAAAATCTTTTTGTTAAAATCACTCCACAATATTGATATAGTCTAATGATATTCGATTTTTTTTTCTAAAGATTTTGTCATAATGCTAAAATTTTGGTTGTTCTAATTTCACGAATTAATTTTGATTACAGTGCGAGCCGCGGCCTTCTGTGCTTGCGAACTTGCTCGACTGTGTAGTCCACTGACTCACGCAACAGAGGGTTGCTGTGCGATTCCGCTAGGCTATAGCGCCGCTGCGCCTGTTGCCTAATGTAGTCCTTTAGGTAACCTGCAGATTTCGCATGTGTGCTTTAGCAATAAAACACCAAGCCGCACATTCTTAAGTCATTGCTGGCCTTATGACCACCTTATAGAGTCGAACCTTGTTAATCTAACTTAATTTTGAACGTTTACATAATAATGGGTAAAGCTCTCGAAACGTAATTTGGAATTTAGTTTTTAGCGCCAAGTCATCCCTTTGTCCAGAATGACACCAAGATACTTAGCGGAGGATTCCCATGGTATACGAAGTCCATTCATTGAAACTTCAGACCGAACGCCGCGGCGTCAGTAGATTGCCTGCGTTTTCGAATGGTTAATTTTAATTAGCCACCAATCCGCCCAATCTAGTACTTCCTCCACCGCACTTTGCAGCTTGTCATGGACTAGGTCACCAGACCACGACTGAGCCACCAATGCAGTATCGTGAGCATAGAGATAGACTTCATAGTTGCCTGGGCTAGGGATGTCATGGATGTACAGTGAGTAAAGGATAGGTCTAAGGACCGAACCCTGAGGGACGCCGGCTGTAATCAGCCGTATTGTCGTCAGGACATTGTCAATTTTGATCCGAAATTTCCTACCTTCAAGGAAGGATTTCAGTAGTTTTAGAAGCCAAAAAGCGAAGCCCTTTTGGATTAGTTTATTCAAGAGGCCCGCGTGCCACACCTTGCAATGCTTTTGAGACGTCCAAAAGCAAGATGCAAGTACTTTCGTTAAGGGTGAATCCTCTGGTTACTCGTTCCACCAGCCTAACCGCCAGCAGCTCCGTTCTATGCTCAGACCGAAAACCGAATTGCACGTCAGGAATCACATGGTGATCTGACGAGAAATTCTCAAGGTGACGTAGAATCACCTTTCCAGCGAGCTTAGACGGAGCTGACAGCAGGCCAGTGGGACGATAATCCTGGGGAAATATCGAACCCACCTTCTTTGGAATCATTATAACTTCAGAGATCTTCCACGGGGATGGGAAGTACTGGGTCCTTAGCATAACATTGACTATCGCCACGAGATAAGTTAAGGACTTCCGCGAAAGCAACTTCAGCGCCTTATTAGTGATTTGATCCTCTCCAGGTGTTTTACGCACTTTAAAGTCTTTAATATGACCTTGAATCTCTGCTGGTGTGCAATGCGGGATCTCGAGAGATTTCGCTGATGTGCTAAGCAGATCTTCGGTTGAAGAAGCTTCTGAAGAAGAATCTCCTGATGAAGAAAAATCAGCAACAGTAGCGCGACTGTCACTGACGCCGTTGGCCCTAAAATATCTCCTGACAGATCTTACCATGTGTTGCTCCTCGTCGAGGTCACTATCAATATCATAGTTGCGAGAGAACTGTCTTTCCATGGCATCGGCGAAAACCTCAACCTTTTCTTCTGCCCTGAAGACAATGCCTCCAGGACCGTGGATGTGTGGGATTTGTTCACGATTTCCGTTTTTGAGCGACTTCGCCACTCTCCAGAGAGGAATGCTTCAGTCAAGCATCTCTGCCCTAAAGTCGTTCCATTGCTCCTTCCGGAATTCATGAAGAGCATTTCTTACTCCATGAACAAGATTCGTCGCTTTACGAATGTCATCAGGATGACAACACCTTTTCGCTTGCTTAATTGCAGCCCTTTTATCAGAAATTCTCTGACGAACGTCTGCTGGTAGAAAAGGTCTACCGTGTCGCTTCACGGGAAGTACAGCTGCACGCTGCAGCGCTTGCTGAACAAAACTTGTCCACTCCGTTTGAGCCGCATCTATACCGTTCTCATCATCTATGATCTGAATATTGGGGAACTCTCTGAGGAGCGACTTGTATATCTCCCAATCAATGCGTTTCCCTGGAGGGGTTTCATCCTCCAAGATCTGCTCATTACCCACTTCCAAAACGGCGGGAATATGATCGCTTGAGATGTCATACATGATTCGAGAAGTGATACTGTATCTACAGTCATTGGATATTGCCTGAAGGTGATTAAATGGGTGGTGCGTCAGCTCCTCAGTACTATGTATGAGGTAGGCATTTCGTACTATCACATGGTTGTACAGTCGGATGCCACTGGTGGAATTCAACCTAGAATGCCATGCTCGATGTTTGCAGTTGAAGTCCCCTGCCACAATAAGAGGACCTGAGCAGTCTAAAAGGACTTACAGACCCGCCTCTTGCAGCCTGATACCACACCTGACATACACCGATGTGATTTTTAACGGCACACCTCCCGTCATATTGACCATCAGGGAAGCCGCTCTGCATCTCAGCGTTTGTGCTTCTGTGGCAGTCATTACCGCGTTTTACTAGCACTGTGCCGCCACCCCGTCCAAACAATCTATCATATCGACCAGTTCTGGATGTATGAAGCTGGACACGGCTAGTTGGGGAGACCGAAGCCAGACGAGTCTGTCGGCGGCATTATGGAGGAGACCTCTGCGCGAGTCTTCACGTTCTTGGGGGGAATGAGCGAGTGTGACGTTTCTGGTACATCCAAAACAACATATAACCCCATGCGCTCTTGTAGCTCTGGGAGTCTGGATGTCATTTTTGGGAGCGGGGAGCGGCGAGCAGGCTTTTCTCGTTTTAAGCGTTGTCATTTTGACATTGTAATCATTACTCCGCGTGATCCAGGCGTGGGCGTGATACAGGATCGTTCAGGCTGTTGTCGCAGCATACTGTATAGTAACGGATAAAAAACAAATAAACTTTTGCCGGAGAGATACATAAATATAAAATATGTTGTCATTGACAACAATCTGTGTTTTGTCCTATTAAAAAGTCTATCTCGGTGGTCCAAACATTAGTGAAAGGTAATTTATACATATGTGGTTTTATTTGGCAAGTAAATCACGGAGTTCTAGAGCCACAACTAATTGATTAGATTATTTGTAATTTGGGCAAGGGTACTTATACTGTACTAGTGATTTTTCTAAAGCATTTGCTATGGTTAACTATGACACTCTAATATTCAAAATAAAGTACCACGAACTTTCTGATGTTATTCTGTTTGTTTTTAAATTGTATGTAGACAATCGCAAGCAATAAGTAAGAAAAACGCCAAGGAGCTTGTGTCAGTACTGATGTTGCTTCCGGTGTTCCACAGGGATCCGCGCTTGGTCCCTTATAGTTCTTAATCTATCCTTTGACTTGCACATTGTTGTTCAGAAAATTGCAAGCAACAAGTAAGAACAAGCCAAGGAGTTTCTGCTAGTACTGACGTAGCTTCCGGTGTTCCACAGGCATCCGCACTTGGTCCCTTATAGCTTTTAATCTATCATTTGGACTTGCGCATTATTACAGATCACTGATGCATAATTACAATAAGATAACGTCAGGATGATCACCTCGTTATACCTCTTCGCCACACTTTATCGTTTCAAAGGTCTTTTACGAACAATTACATCAAGTTATACAAGTGACTCTCAGTGCGTATTCTTAATCATTCATTCTTGTTTAGGCTTTTAAATAGTATAGGTTGTATTGTATGTGTGAGCTTTTGCATGTTTCGTTCATATTGTGGTTTAGTCAGAGGGTAGCCAACAAGCTAAACAGAGAACGTGTAAGGTTGCCAATAAAGTCACGTTGTTAGAACTACATAATACTTTTCTGTCATGCACTTCTGAACGTCTTTTTCATTTTTCACGTATGGGTCGTTTACCTACTGCGCGTTTTGCCAGAATTGCTTTTTTTGTTTTGCCGCACCCCATTTCCACGTCCAACACTAATGTTTTGTTGGCTGTTTGCTGCATCGTAACAAAAACCAGCATTATTTGCGCTTTTATATGCCTGGGGAAATGTACTCTGTCTTTACTCCTCATATACGGAACAAGCACCGCTGTATGAACTGTGATCACTAGCAGTTATTCTTTAAGCAATCTTGCAGATTGCCATGCTCACTATTAGCTAACATTTCAGTGATTTGAAGATCGTTTCTATTAGAGGAAACTGCCCTATACAGGGACATCATTATTGCCAAGTGTAAATAGTAGCTAAGGTGTAGGGGAGCGTACGTTCACCACGTTACAGATACTGCTTGTTTGTCCACGATTATCACTTGCAAGTCACTTATACCTATATATTCCTATATAATAATAAACCGTTTTATTAAAAAAAAAAACAAATGACAGATAATTCATATATATTATTATCTATAATTAGATTAGTGAGCAGCTAATGGCGAAGTTTAGCTATGGCAGCTATTCTTACACTTAACCATTAACTGCATATACTTATATAGATGGTAAAAAAGTACAGCTGTAAAGAAGATAATAATGAAAATAAATGGAGGAAAATGCCCATGTAACTGATTACAAACTAAATAAAAATTAGCTTAAAAATGTAATGCTGGAGAAAACCACCTTTAAGAATCACCATTGAGCAGAAGAGCTCTTAAGTGCTTTTTAAAACTATACAGCGGCAGGCTTTTTGTTCTGTAATCTAAGCTATTGTACAGTATGCATGCATTATATGAGAAGG